TACATTATATTTCCCCATCAGCCACTACTATAAGTGTCCATATAGGTATATATATATATATATTTATTTATTTATTTATTTATTTATTTATAATGATTAACGCCAATCGGCTTTTATACAAAGTACTTACATACAAAATAATAACAAATTTAAATAACAATATTAAAATAGTAAGACATAATAACAGTATTAAAAATAGTAAGACAGCAAAAACCAATAATRTGGTGAAACAAAAATAAAGAGCCCAGATATATAATTTGTTTAAAGTATTTAGTAAATTCAAACAGATTTGAAGCACATAATAGGTTATTAGATCATTATAATCACACACTTAATCACTGTAAAAAAAAGAAAAGAAAAAAACAATAATATTGGATACGTAACATTTAGTAAATGATAATCAAATTAGGTATATAGGTATTAGGTACAATGAGTAATTTTGTTTTATCCTCACTTCAACCACTCAACAATTTCAATCTTACTATCTTAGTAACACGATTTAATATGCATTATATTATTATTATTGTGTAAATATGATTGTATATTTATATATCAATAACTATTTTAAATTTAAAGAGGAATTTAATTTAATTGATTTTAAAAATCAAATTATATAAATATCGATAAAAATTTCTTTGTTGGGTAGAAAAGCTTGAAAATTATTTAATATAAGGCTTCTAATACATTGTAACAATGGCAGTTAAAAAATATTAAAAATACATAGGCATGATTTTTTTTTATAAGCATTTACGTAAAGTTCAGATTTTGACTAAATACGTAAAAATTACGGCTATGTTCAAATTATTTTAGATAGAAATTCATAACATTTTTTCTTTTTAGATCTAAGATTTGAAAATTAAATACCTCCTAACATATTTTTACAATAGCAGTTGAAAAATAAAAGAAATGCATGGTCACAATTTTTTTTACAAGCATTCAAAGTTTGAATTTTGACAACATAGTTTCTTAAAAATCACGGCAATTCGCAAATTATTTTAAGCAAGTAATTCATAAATATTTTTCTTTTTAAATCTAAGATTTGATAATTTTTAATAATCTATAATATATCCTAGACAGATTAACCGTCTCCGCTCAGAATTGTTTTTTTTCGTATACAATGATATAATATCATTGAATTCATATYGAATTCCATCCATTACAGTAACCCACTTGTAACCTACTGTACAGCAGAGCGACATCAACGACTCGCTCGATTTTTTACAATTGTATTAAAATTTCGTAAAAAAATAATAGTTTATGATTGTTTGATTTTTTTTACATTATACACGACCAGTTCTTAATTTGTTATCAAGCAAACGCTATTTAATAGCTCAATTCATTTCTGATATAATAGTCRTTAAACTACGTTAATATTATCCATACAAATTATATATATTGACACTTTATTTAATAGTGTTTAACACTGTAAATAGATTTTTATTATCTATAAGTGTTTGTTGTTGAAAATGAATAACAATTATTATCGTTTACTGTTATTAAAAATTAATGTTACATTTACGATTTATTCTTATAAGTCTTCACATAGTATTATAGGATTATCATTATATAATATAATTAAATCACGTAAAATATAAAAACTACTGGAGATAACGAAAAGTTATTTTTGTTGACCAATGACATTGGTATACCTATAGTAAGTAGGTATAATTGATATTGTGTTCGTTAGACACGATTCAAATTAGTTTTTCAGGACAGGTGTAACAGCGGTGGCGATTTATTTTGTTGTATGCTCATATTGCTCATCCGCAGTGCCATTCTTTCTAGATTTACTCATTCGAATTATTAKTTGACTGACGGATACTTGGATTAGAAACGCGCAAAATGCTACGTAACTTAATAGTTTGAAAGAAGCCGAGCTTCCAATGCGTTCGAACGAGTAACCCGCCAAGAATGAACCAAATGATACACCTAAAACAAAAATTGTTTTGGAAAAATAATATTAATTCGAGTTATACATAATAGACAGTACGTCGACGAGTCGTATTTATAGGATAACTTAATAAAATAAATAAATTTTAAACCTCGCCTTTTTATAGGTAAACCTATTCGTATACCTAACCCTGTCAGTGTTTTAAATATTTTTTCCTTTTCATAAATCATAATATTCAATACAAATGTTTCTGTTACAAATCAAGAATTTGTTAGACTRTTTTTAAATGTTTAATATGCAACTGCGAAATGTACTATGCCGTAATACTCGCAATAGTGTCAAAGTATACGTACGTTTTAGATTATATTAAATTATCTATACAGTACAAGTATAATATGTATACGCTATGCCGATCCTAACTCATYACCCATCCTGATGATTAATATTATTATTATCGTTATTTATTTTGTTACCATATAAATGCTGCAGATTAATTTCAATAGTGCTCACCGATTCCGTGAAAAGCCATGCCGTATAGGCCTTGAAGAGTGCCTTCGCAACCGTTCGGCGCTACTTTTGCCGCGTATGAAATGCCACTCAAAAACGCCATGGTGGTCGTTACACCGTTGGTTAGCTCGACCGGCAATACCCACAGCGGATCTTTGATGATCGAATAGAGGAAAAACCTCATCGAAAGCATTGCGAACGACACTGAGAAAGCCGCCATGTGTCCGATGCGTCTTAGTATGTATCCTGTAACAGTATATTATTATGACAATAAGAATATAAATTTAACATGATAATGATCGTGGATTTTTCCGCCAGAACCTGTGCATTTCGTATTTTTGTTACTACTGCATATCAATATAGAACATCTCACTCGAAAAAATTGTATTGTGCAAAAGAATGTGCTAGTGTTTAAAATTTAAATACATATACCTATTGATTATTTGAAATTTGTTGAAATCGCCTATTTAAAAACCCTATAAACAGTGAGTATATAACATATAATAATGTCAGRCTGATGCTATTGTTTTTTTCTCTTGTATGACCCACAATAATGTATAGTCAAAACGAACTCACGCAAAATTGAGAAACTGACAAATATTAAATATTTACATGGAATATCACACAATTTCCAATTGAAAATAAAATATTTTTCATTTATACAATAATTATTTTTGCTTTAGTACTAATAATGACTAACTTTTATTTTTTAAAGAGACAAAAAGTTTAAAAAAAACATACCTACATAAAACATAAATGTGTAGACTGTCATAAGTCTGTGTTAAAATGGGATGGAAAATTTTGAATT